CCAAGCCACAAGAGGTCAGCAGGAACTGGTGTCCCCTTCAGGGCAATGGATAAAAGAATGGGTAGGTATTTCTGGGACTTGAAAAGACATGCCCTCAGCACTGTCTCTTACACACAAACCCACACATGCTGTCACTGAAGGAGCTCAGAAAAGGAAAACATTGCAGGATGTAAGCTGAGAGGTAAGAATGGATAAAATACCAGTAGGATGTCTTTTCATATATACAAACATTGATTTAAAGTAGAATGCATTCGTAGAGTTCATCAAAATAAATGGAATTGGTCATTGCAAAAAAAATCTGCATGAGCTTTTCTTTAAACTATATACTTATGATACTATTTGGGTAATTTAAACATATACCATCTGGCTTTATAAATTCTAATAATCTTCAATTATAATGTTCAAACATTCTTTATTGCAAGATAAAATTAAATTTATTTTTAAAGATCTGTGTCCTGAGCTTAAGTTAGTTAATGTTAGCAATGTTGTTCTTGCAAGGTTCTTTGAACTGGCTGTACCATAGGCCATAGCCTAGTTGAGCCACGGAGACCCCTGTGATCTGCACGTACATCTCCAGAAAGAAAAGAATGGCTAGCACTGCCATTGTTCCTGCCTCAACCATTCCTGCCTTAACTGAAAAGCCAATCTTGTGATACTGGACCTTGGACCTTGTGATAACCCATACCCCGATAACAAAAGAAGAATAGCTAGCTCCTGCAGTGCCCAATTAACCGATCTTACAACACTCCACCATTGTTCTGGCTTAACTGATAAGCCAACGTTGTGACACTGGACCTTGGACCTTGTGACACACACCCCCAGCGACACCCCCCACCCCTGGCTTGCAAAAACTGCCCTGAACTATAACTTCTGTAACTTTCCACTGCCGACCCCAAACCTATAAAACCAACTCCTAACCCATCGCCATCTGCTGACTCTCTTTTCAGACTCAGTCCACTCACACCCAGGTGAGTAAACAGCCTTGTTGCTCACACAAAGTCTGTTAAGGGGTCTCTTCATTCAGAGCATGCTTAACAGTTCTGTTAATCAAATAAAACTCTGAAGATGTTAAATGACAGGAATGGTTACTTATACCAGATGGAATGAAAGGAAGGGATCACAATGTTATATCCAAGTAAATAGATCCCTCTCAAAGAAATAATCATGCCGAGAATTAAATCATAGGTTATTTTTCAGCTATTACATGCCTTCTAGGGTGCCATATGGAAGGTAGGGGTAGAAATGGATGTTTTCTAACAAATAAAATATATATTATGTCAGCAAACATTTTCTTGTGCTATTACTTACATCATGGAAATGATTATTTCATTGTTGATGACTAAAATAAGGTTGCATTAATAATAATGATGGCAATAATAGCTTTAAGTCAGTTTTATCATTTGTTCATATTCACATAGAAGATACATCAGAAGGAGCTTTCCAGAAATAACCAAATGGTAATAGAATAATCAATTAATGGAAACTAACCCAAAGAAACTGACATACAAGTTAGAATTCACAGAAAAAGACATTAAACAGTTATTATACATGTATTTCATATGTTCAAAAAGCAGAGACTTAGAAGATGTCAAAGCAACCCAATAAAATTTACATAGATAGAAACTATAACGTCTGAGATGAAAACATACCAGAAAGAACTAATAGCCAATTAGAAACATTGCAGAAAAAAAGTTCAGTGAGTTTGATGATATAGCAATAGAAACTATGCAAAATAAAACACAAAGAGAAAAAAACAGATCTAATAAAAAGAACATCAATGAGCCCTGAGACAACTCCATGTGATCAAATATAAGTACACCTGGACTCACCATTTTTAAAATGTAAACTTTCAGTTAAGTCCCATTGTACTGCCGTCTTGAATCCAGACTATTTTTGGTTCTAAGAGTCCAGAGGACAAACTTCGTATATTCACACCAGAATCACAGAATGGATCAGGTGATTCAGATATCTACCTACTTTATAGACAGACATTTGTTCAATCTTGCTATTAGTCCAACTAAGCACCCTTGCTTAGAGAGGTAACTTTGTGTCTAAATTTTGAGCCTTTGGGGGTTATCTAATGCTGTTTTAGGATGAGTTTCAGTTTCAGTCTATTCTGTGAGTTACAATATACCCACATGCTTTCTAGCTTCCAAAAATATTAATATTAACCCCTCATCAGCTATTGACTTGTCTTTGTGTCTTAGTCTCTATTGATCAATATCTTCTTTATCCCCATCTTATTACTGAAATCTAAGTTTGAATACATGAGTGGTTGGATCTATCATGAATATCCAGAAGTTGCAGAAATTCTTTAAATAGCCTTCAGGACAAAAACGTGGCTGTTAAACTTAGTAACTGCCTTCCTTTGTAAGAATGTTTTTATCACCCTTATAAATGAGTATCTTAAATGAGTATTGAATCTATGTCACAATCATTGGTTCTCATAATTCTATTGATTGCTATATTATGCTCTGGAATTTACTATTAAAAAGGAGCAGTCTGATTATTTTCCCCTTCGTACAGTCTTCAGGTGATACTTATATTTGGCCAGTGAATCTATAGGATTTCTTTTCTTTAATGTAATTTTTTTTAAAATCACCAGAATACATGGATATCTTTAATTTTGCCTGGTTGACCATAATATCTGAAATCCCTTTCTCAGAGGATTCTGGTTTATTACTGCTTCTGGTGATTTTCCTTTGCCCTATTATAATCATATTGTGTTCCCAGAGTCTTCCCTCTATAACATGTCTTTTTCTTCATCAATTTCTTCTCTTTGTTTTTCAAACATCTGAATTATAGGGTATTCTACATTTCATTTTCCAACTCACATTTCTCAGTCTCCAATGCACACTTTTCTACTGTAATCGCAATTTTAAATATTCAGAAACCATTTCCATTTAATCTCATACATTCTTGATCTATGGTTGCTCTCTTTCCATGACTACTCTCGTTTCATAATCTCTCAAATCCTATTGACAATATCCTTGAGGATATTTCTGATGGATCTTAAATGTATCTGCACAGTCATGTCCTTGTCTGCTTATCACTATGGAAGGAGGTTAAGGTTTATTTTGTCTTGCCTTTGAATGTTTTGGGAGTTGAAATGCATGGATGCAAAACTTATTTGGCTCCTGGGCTGAAAAACATAATGTTCAGATGAAGGAAAGGTGTACAAGCAAACAAAAGACAGATTAGGTTTCCTGCAACTTCACTTCTCCCTACGGATAATACCATGTACCTGGGGAGTAAAGAGAAGGAGGCTATCCAATGTAGGGCAGCTGTAGCCTCTATGGTGAAGAACTGTTTGTTTTTTGGTGTGGCTATTGGTAGTTGAATGGAACATAGAGTGCCCTCAGTAATGAACACCACACCTTCTGAGGAGCCTGAAAAGTGTCCCCATTTCAAGGAATTTGGCAGTATCCTGACATACACACCAGGTGTGCATGCACCTCAGAGCTAGAGTCACACTCCGAAGACTCTTGTCCCTTGCTCACTTCACAGAGGAAACCACATGAGCATTTTTTCTTCCCTGCATTGTTTACTCTTTGTCTCATATGGATTCCAGGATTCCAGTCTTTGTATCTTAGTCTAGGCTTCATAAGGGGTACCTCTAGGGTGAGTTTCTTTTTTACGTGTGAACTGCAGTTTAACTGGCACTTTCCCCTTTCCCTCTTTCTTTTCTATATTTTGCATGTGAGAAGCACTCATGCTGTATTTCCAGAAATAAATTAATCTTTAATTATTCATTCTTTGCTCTTTTTTATTGGAATTGAAAAATAAAGGAAAAGAGCAACTTAAAATGTAGGTGCTCAAATGCTTCTGAGCTGAAAAGCTCTCTTGCTCAGTTCTTGTTTAATCTGGGCTAATCAACTCCATTTCCTTTAATCTACCTGCCTGTAATTTATCCCTTTGATCATCTCTAGTAGTCTCCTTTAAACCATTTCAAATGCCACTGAAGCTCTTTCAAGGTGGTGTAAACTGGACATATTTCATATAAATATGAAAGAATATTACCTGTGTCATTGGAGAACTTATAATATACCCCACAATTGTGAAATCTTTTCTGCACAATTCAAATTATGTGGAGTACAGCGCAGAGGTAAGAAGCATGACTATCAGTGTGATTTTGGTGCTGTAGAAAGACAGCTACGTGTTTTCTAAACTCTCTTGGTTTTCCAACCAGGCACCAAGCCACCACCCCGCTCCTACGATTAGATGAGGCCGTGAAATGTGTGCCAAAGTTCTGGATGATAGAATACGGTCAAAAATGATGGGCAACCTTTCTAAGCCTGACTGTTATGCTTTACTGCAAAATCTTTTAATTAATCACATTCACAACTGAAATATAAATAATTGGTTTAAATATTGCTATATAACTCTCAGGTCTTGTGTGCTTTTTTAGGTTCTCGTGACATCACTGTCTCCTGAACCATCAATTTCTTCTACTTCAATCACTGCAGTGGCGGAACAATTGCACTTGGAAATAGGACAATGAGATTTCATCTCCTCGAGTCCTTGGCTTCTCCTGGCTTCTAAAGTTGTGAAAGGGGCTGGATGACAAAGAGTTCTGTACCATGAGGTAAATTGTCACCAGTGGAAGACAGACAGCAGAAGGGAACTCAACAAATAAATTCCCCCCCATTTCCTCACTACAGCATAATCTTCCAAAGGATTCTTTGTTCTGCCTATCTGCAGACTACTCACCTGGCTGTGTTTTTTTTTTTTTTTTTTTTTTTTTGTTTTTTTTTTTTTTTTACTTTCGACGCATCTGCTCCCCTCCTCTCCCATGTGTGCGCTTGTGTCTGGCTGTTCGAGGTGCACTTTGGCAGGAGTCATGCATGGGGAGGACGCTGGAGAGCAGGGAGGGAAGTGAAGGGCCCGCGAACCTTTCATTTTTTAGGGAGGCTGGAAAATCAGTGCTTGGGGAACCGGGTTTCAGTCAGTGAGGGGAAAGGCGAGTAAGGGGGTGTGTCCAGGGGATCTTCGCCTTGGAGGGTTGGGGATGCGGCTACCCTGGACCACCAGCTCTTGGGCGGGCAGAGGGCGACGAAGGGCGCCACTGTTAGGGAGAGCGGCTGGCGGGCCGCCTGGGAGAAGCAGCGGGCGCCACCCTCAGAGTGGTGGCGGGAAAATCAGATGACAAAGGTCCCCAGTGCCAACCCTGCAGTACAGGCCTTTGACATCCGGCTGAACTGCACTGAGTATGGGGAGCTGTGTGAGAAGCTCTGGGCACCCATCTGCAGTGCGGCCCATGTGGTCATCCACCAGAACCTGGGCGACCTGTTCCTGGAGACGTTTGCCTCCCTGGTAGAGGTCAACCCCGCCTACTCAGTGCCCAGCAGCCAGGAGCTGGAGGCCTGCATAGGCTGCATGCAGACGCGTGTCCAACGTGAAGCTGGTGAAGACCTGCCAGGAGGCGGCGGTGGGCAAGTGCCAGCAGTGCTACTGCCGCCCCATGTGGTGCCTCACTTGCATGGGCAGGTGGTTTGCCAGCCGCCAGGACCCGCTGCGCCCCTGGCTGGCCAGCCGTGTGCCTTGCCCCACCTGCCGCACACGCTTCTGTATCGTGGATGTGTGCACCATACGCTGAGTGGGCTGGGGCTTGAGGATCCTGGTGACTCTGTGTTCCCCCGGCCACAGGGTGAGGAGGGGGTGGCTGGGCCTCCAAGCTGGCAAAGGGCTCTACCTAAAGCACTTGATCTGTAGCAACTCGCCTCTGCCCTGGGTCCGCAGAAGGCTGAGGGCTTTTGGTTAAAAGCAATCCTCATGAACACACCCCACCCTGCTCGGCAGCCAGGGGACAAGTCCTTGGCACCTCCTCTTTGCCTCCCTCCTGTCCCTTCCTGCAGGTAGGGGCAGGTACTGCCCACACAGAACACAGCATTTGCCCGGAGGCCATTCCCTGGAGACCCTGGGTCTGCTCCAGTGGTCCTCACCTGGGCCACTTGCCTTAATTTTCTGGAGCAAACCTGCCCTCATTTACATGCCAGACCCAGATCAGCGTTCTCCCGCCCTGTCCTGGAGCTGCACCTGGCTGCCTGGAGAGCCCTGGGTATGTCCCGAGGGTGGGGTGGAGAACAGGGCACGGCTCCGGTGTGGGAGCAGCCCTGGGGCTTCCTAGTGGCTTTGGCATTGGGGGGCCATTCCTGGGTGGCGTGCGAGGCCAGGCCAGAGTGCCCTCATTGGTGGGACTGTCCCTCCAGGGGTTCTCACCCTGTCCTTGGTGCCTTCTGCTGCCCCCAGAAGTCCAGGGAAGGCGGAGGCCTCAGACTCCTGGGTAGGGGTGGGGGTTTGAGCTGAGGACCAAAGTGTCACAGTGACATCCAGAACATAAGCCCACAAGGCATCCTGCACAGGCTGCCCACTCCCCTAGGGCCTACCGGGCTCAGAAGGGTATGCACGCCCGCTGTGGTTGAGACTCTGGTGAGCGTCTTGCCCGGTTCCTGATGATTCAAGGGGAGGGGGAGGAGGAGGTGGAGGAGTTGTCCAGGCCCTAGGGCACAGCCCTGACAGGTGTGGCCACTGGAGTGGCTCTCACGCCTGCGGCCCTGGATGTGGCTGATTCCAGCAGAGGTGATGGACTCAGGTGGCCTGACCCCCAGGATTTGGGAGGCTTCCTGAGGCACTCAGAAGGTAAAGGCAGCAGGGGCCGTGGCCAGGAGCTAGACCTAGCCATGGTCCTGAGTTTTAAGGGCTGCCAAAGAGGGTCAGTGGGTGTTGTTTTTACTACAAAAGAAGTTAGTTTTATAAAGACAAACCTATTGTAGCCAAATGACAGTGTATTTAATAAAATTTGTCTGAAGTGAAAAAAAAAAAAAAAGACCCGCGGCTCCTAGCCTTCCCCAGCGTCCCGACCCGAGGCAGGACCCGAGGCCAGCCCCGAGGCCAGTCCGGCCACTGCGCAGCCGAGGCCAGTGCGGCGCCTGCGAGGGACGCGCGCCAGGGGCCCCCGCCGCGGGCACCATAGGCACTGCCCACGCAGCGTCCGAGGAGGTGCGGGAGCTCCAGGGCAAGACCGGCTTCTCATCGGATCAGATAGAGCGCCTCCATTGGAGATTCAAGCAGCTGAGCAGAGACCAGCCTATCATTCGCAAGGAGAACTTCAACAATGTCCCGGACCTGGAGCTCAACCCCATCCGATCCAAAATTTTTCGTGCCTTCTTCGACAACAGGAACCTGCGCAAGGGACCCAGTGGCCTGGCTGACGAGATCAATTTCGAGGACTTTCTGACCATCATGTCCTACTTCCGGCCCATCGACACCACCATGGGCGAGGAGCAGGTGGAGCTGTCCCGGAAGGAGAAGCTGAGATTTCTGTTCCACATGTACAACTCAGACAGTGACAGCCGCATCACCCTGGGAGAGTATCGAAATGTGGTCGAGGAGCTGCTGTCGGGAAACCCCCACATTGAGAAGGAGTCTGCTCGATCCATCGCTGACGGGGCCACGATGGAGGTGGCCAGCGTGTGCATGGGGCAGATGGAGCCTGATCAGGTGTAAGAGGGTATCACCTTTGAGGACTTCCTGAAGATCTGGCAGGGGATCAACATTGAGACCAAGATGAACGTCCGCTTCCTTAACATGGAGACCATGGCCCTCTGCCACTGAGCCGCCGCTGCCTCCACGGAGAAACTGCACTTTGCACTGGGGCCGCCTCCCCGCGATGCTGGAGCAGCCCAGGCCAGGCCGACGGCCTCTTCCTACAGCCCCGGTGCATCGCCAAGGCTCGTCCGCTCACCTTGTGTCTTGTAGGGTATGGTATGTAGGATGTTGCTGTTTTTATCTCTAATAAAAAAAAAAGGTTTGTTAATGAAAAAAAAAAAGTGAGCAGGCATCCATCGAGATGCGAGAGGAGGCAGCACGGGAGATACGCAGAGCCATCACAGGCCGGATCCCAGACAGCACCTGTTGATCTGCTATATATCTTCTTATATGATTTGTTGTGTAGCAGAGGCCAGTGCAGTGACATATTGCATCCTCCTCAGTGTCACTTCCTTTTTCCCTCAGTCTTTCAGCTCTGGGATGTACCTGCCACATGAAGCATCTAAACATAACCCTTTCCTCAGGTTCTGCTTTCTAGTGTACAGGATACTATGCTCCATTTCCCAGAGTGTTTGCATTTAAAAAATTACAAAATTCTTAAGGAAAAGGAACAAGTAGTTAAAGGTGAATATATCAGCCTCATTGGGAATTATTTTTATTTCAGCATAGACTTCTCAATAGCCTTGAGCCTTTCTGCATCTGCACTAATATGGTAACCACATATTCAATCTTATTCCAATGTACTATAATACACAGGCTCAACAATAATAAAAGTAGCACTATTAATTAAGCAGTAAAGCAACATTAACTTTTGAGCATTTCTTACAAGGTAATCCCTATCTTAATATATTAATAAAGCTGCTTCTGTACTGAATTTGTTTTCTAGGGCTGCCATAACAAAGTATCACTATCTGACTAGCTTAAAAAAAACACATTTATTTTTTTACCATTCTAGAGGATAAAAGTCCAAGGGGAAGGTGTTCACAGGGTTCATTTCCCCTGAGGCCTCTCTCCTTGGCTTGTAGATGCCATCTTCTCTTTGTTTTTACATGATCGTCCCTCTGTGTCTGTCTGTGTCCTAGTCTCTTCTTATAAAGAAACTAGTCCTCTTAGATCAGGGCCCAGCCTAAAGACCTATTTTACCTTAGTCACCCCTTTTAAAGAGCCTAATTCCAAATACAGTCACACTCTGATACACCGGAGGTTAGGGCTTCAACACATGAATTTTAGAGGGCACAATTCAGAGTGTAACAGCCACCATCTATCTATAAACACTGATTTTAGAGACCACAGAATTGTTGGATCAAGAGCAAAGCAGAACACTTTGTTGCCTAAGTGTATCAGTTAGGGATCACTGGTTGCATGTAATAGAACTACTCAGAACTGACCTAAGAGGAAAAAAGAAATGATTCAAAAGAAATGGGCATAGTTTATGAAATTCAAGGAACAACTAAAAATTCAGGACTGGACTGAAAAGGCACCCAGAGGCTCAAGGGAATCCATGCAGTGGGAAAAAATAATTTCCCAGTTATGTCCATACTGCTGCTGGAGTGAGCGAGAACCAGCCACCTTCCCTTACCCAAAATAGGAGGCAGCGCTCTAGTTTAGTGTCAAACTAACCTAGGCTTGGTCATTCATTGCTCCTTCCTTGACGAGAGGTGGAAAGGGCATTTATATTCACATCCTCACCAGTACTGCACACAGTATAGGAGGTGTGCTTCTCCAAAAGAAAATTGGAATAATGTTTCACTAAGAAAGAGAGATGGATGTTTGATGTTAAGGAAGGAAAGAGAGAGAGAGAAGAAAATAGGAAGATAAGAAAGAAGAAAAAAGAAAGGAGGAAAGATAAAAGAAAGAAGTAAGGAATAAAGGAAGGAAGGATGAAGTAAGGAAAGGAGGAAGAAAGGAAAGAAAGGAAGGAAGGAAGGATGAAAAGAAGTAAAGAAGAAAGAAAAATGAAAGAAGAATTAAAGAAAGGAAGGAGGAAAGACAGAAGGAAATAAAGAGTAAGAAAGAAGAAAGGTAGAAAGGAGGAAAGAGGGAAGAAAGAAAGGGAGGGAGGGAGGAAGGAAGGAAGAAAGGAAGGAAGGAAGGAAGGAAAGAAGGGAGGGAGGGAGGGAGGAAAAAGACAAAGAAAGAGAAAGTAGGACAGAAGGGGGAAAGGAAGGAAGAGAATAGAGAAAGAAAACATCACATCTAAATTGGCTTGCATCGTTTATAGAAATTGGCTAATCACTGCGCTTCCCCTTGTAGACATAGATTTAAGTCCATGAAGCAGGGAAGAACTTAGCCCCTTCTGCCAGTTTTTTTTCTGCATATGTCTGTATTTTTTCCACCATTAGGTTTGGCATTATTTGACATTCTTTCATAGGCTACAAACTGTGAGCACAGTGAGGACTCTCCTGACCTAGCAAGCATCCAGCACCTGTGGGAGAGATGTGCTCGAAGGAAGGTCCCTTACCATGAATTTTCTAGTTTCCAATTATTACTCTTTGCTTCCACACCACTGAAATTGTGCCATATCTTACTTACAGTTCTTTCAAAAAATCTTTTTCTTTGTTTTTGCTGTTACAGCCTGCTGATGGCTCTTTTAAAAAGCCTGTGTCTTTTAGAGTATGAAAACAATGGAATCCTGTTTGTTAAGAGAACTGTTATAAAGAAGCCTGCCATATGGAAGGATAAGGTTGATGGTAATTTCTTGATTTTTACTTCTATCGGAAGCAGGACATAATTAAAGAAGAATATTTTCTCTCCTATTATAAATCCACATGTCACATTTCTGGGCATCTATATAAGGATGCTGTGTATTGATCCTCAATTTGTATAAGCACCATATCAAGTTTGACCCAACATGGGACCTGGGCCTTGTTAAACTCTGGTGTCCTAGCCTCTTCGTTCTGCATCTGATCTTTCCTTTGACCGACACCACATGTTTCACCTCCCTTCAACCTTAAGGGAGTCCGTACATTCATGTGGCAACTAAAAGTGGATATCACAGATATCCACTTTGTCTTCCACGTTAGTCTAGGACATGGGTATAGAACAGAGATTACCTAACATTTCTGAAAAGAACCAGAAAGTAAATATTTTTGGCTCAGTGGGGCATATGATCTCTGCAGCAACTACCCAGCCCTGCTACTGAAGTGAAAAAGCAGGTGTGAATGGCATACAGATAAATGAATGTGGCTGTTTCCTTTATTTACATAAACAAGCAGTGGGCCAGATTTGGCACAAGAGTTGGAATTTGCTGACACATGGTTGTGAATTTTACTTTTATCATTAATCCACTGAGTGCTGACCATTTATCCAACAATAACTGCCATCTGTTGAATCACTACATGTCTACCTATTATATGTTATGTAGCTGGTGGAAATGCACTCATCCTCACAACTTGATATTTACATTCCTACCAACATTGTATTGTTGAAGAACACAAACAGACATGTCTCAAAAGAAAGCATACAAGCAGCCAACAAACATATGAAAAAATGCTCAATATCACTAATCAGCAGAGAAATGCAAAATAAAACCACAATGAGATAGCATTTTTATACCAGTCAGAATGGCTATGGATAAAAAGTCAAGAAATGACAGATATTGCTGAGTATGCAAGGAAAAGCATGGAAAACAGTATGAAGATTTTTCTTTTTTTGAAATAAAGTCTCACTTTGTCGCTGAGGCTGGAGTGCAGTGGTATGATCTCGACTCACTGCAACCTCCACCTCCCAGGTTCAAGAGATTCTCATGCCTCAGCCTCCCAAGTAGTATGAAGATTTCTCAAAGAACTACCTGTCATTTGATCTAGCAATCCCACTGCTGGATATCCACCGAAAGGAAAACAAATTATTATACATAAAAGATACCTTTATTCATATATTTATTTCATCAGTATTCACAATAGCAAAGATATGGAATCAATCTAAGTGTCCACCAACGAATGATGTGACAAAGACAATATGATACACACACATGCATACACACACACATGCAAACACACAATGGAATACTATTGTTATTATTATTATTTTTTGAGACAGAGTCTCGTTCTGTCACCCAGGCTGGAGGGCAGTGGCACAATCTCAGCTCACTGCAACCTCTGCCTCGCAGGTTCAAGTGATTCTCCTGCCTCAGCCTCCTGAATAGCTGGGACTACAGGCATGTGCCACCAAGCCTGGCTAATTTTTGTATTTTTAGTAG